TGACATACACCTCTGCAGGCTCTTTAGAAATCATGACCCATGACTGCTATGCTTTAAATGAACATGACAGACCTGCAGGATAAATAATGAAACCCACATCCCACTCTGACTATTCTTCCATTCTCATTCTGCAGTAGGGGAGGCATTTCTGCTGTTTTGCACTGTTTGAATGTAAGAAGACGATGAGGAGGAGATCTGGGTGCAATCTTTCAGACTTTTCCTTGGGGGTCTGTGGTTGGATACTTTCTTGTTATTGCCACCAAGAACTACTTTCTGCTGCATAGGAATCTGTTTCATGACCTTCTTCAGCTGACGGGTCTCCTCTGATATCTCCTTGAGTTCCGTAACCTTAAGGGGCTGCTTTTGAGAATTGCCACTGGGACTGTGAATGTGGTCTCCTACACTAGTCTCCAGCACCAGAGAGCAACTCACACATTCTTTTGATCTATCGTTTTCCACCATTTGGGATCCTCCTTCTGGCTTGGAAGATTGCCTAGGAATCTGTTGTGAAAGAAAACAAAGCCATTCTTTAGTTTTCCCACATGTGAAGGCTCTAAAAGGTAGCAGAAATGATGGAATTTGGCATTCAAGCACTACTGTTCATTCACATGAACGTATAAGCGTTAAAAACAAGAAAATGCCCTGGAGCTATCCAGCTGAAGATAAAAAAACATCTAGTATTCTTGATGTTCAGACAACACAACAGACAAAGACTTCAGAATGAGGCATTAGAATATACTAAACTCTTTGAAGCTGAGTTCAATTTAAGTCCCACTCATATAAACACTTTGGCTTGCAGATTTGCTTTGTTTTTGATAGCTAGGACTAAATGTGGTTGGCCTGTCTCTTTCACTCGTTTCAAACATAATTTTTTCTCTAACATACCAAATGTTCTCAAAAACGGCATCAGGAAGGCACAAGTCACTCAACATCTCCCTTTATGTGGACAGATATCCAGCTGCTAGAGGGCAGAGTAACGTTGGTGCCAGACCTATTGGAGTCTCCTCCTTTTGTCTAGCTATTTTATGGGATCCCAAACAGTCCCAGGCCAGGGGTTAATTAGGGAGGGATGGGTCTGTCTGTAGCCAATTACAGCTCTTTGTCACATTCCCTGACCTCTATTGCCTCTAAAGTCTAAGTGACTGAGTTTTAAACTACAGTGAAAGCTTAAGATCTACTTCATTAAATGGATATTTCACCCAAAAATGAAAATTCTGTCATCATTTATTTACCGTCATGTCATTCCAAACTTGTATGACTTGATGTTTTCTGTAAACAGAGATATTTTGAAATTATATATTTTTTCTCCAATGATTTGGACCCCATTGCCTTTTACTGAGTGGACAAAAACAATTGCAAAATATCTTCTTTTATTTTTCACAGAAGAAAGAAAGACAAAGGTTTGGGACAACGTGAGGGTAAGTGATGACAGAATTTTCATTTTTGGATGAATTAGCCCATTAAAACTTCAGAACACCAAACTTGTGTAAAGATATATTGGAAAACAAAACAAAACATAAAAATAAAACACAAAAGCAAAACAAAACATAAATAAACCACAAAACTAAAAGAAAACACAAAACAAGAAATAACTAAACAAAACACACACACAAAAAAAACCATAGCAATACAAAACAAAACAAAAAACAAACAAAAAAACGAAACCATAAACTATGCAAATATTTATTGCACCGTGCCTAAATGGGAAGGTTCTGGCACCGAAATTGAGGCCAAAGAAAGTTTCTGTGCAATTTTCAGAGTACCTTTTCTACTTCTAAGAACATGAAGAAACATGTGGCCTCTGTTCATAACTGTTAACACTGCGGTGCTATCACAGATCTTCCACTCAGTTAAACTCACGCAGATCCTTAAGAAACACGCAGACACAAGCATCAACATATCTCTCCCTCTCACTTCTACAGATAAGCTCAAGAGCAAAAACAAAGAAACTCTTAGACAAAACAACCCAAATATTCATAGAATGATAAGATCATCTGTGAGACGTGACTTAGTAGCACAGCCTAACCAAATTTAAAAAATGACATTATGTGTAAAGATGCAAACGTGCCCAAAATGTATTTTTAAACCAACTCTAAAGCAAAAAAACTGAATTACTGAGAGAGAGAGAGAGAGAGAGAGAGAGAGAGAGAGAGAGAGAGAGAGAGAGAGAGAGAGAAAACCTGAATCACTGAGGTAAAGGTAATTGAATGTCATTAATAAACATGAATTTATGCAACTGCACTCATTAGTTTTTGGTCAAATTGCTTCTATGCAGTTTGTTGTAGGGATGCACCGCTACCGATACTGGCATCGGTATCGGCCCGATACTGGTCTCCTGTACTGGTACTCGTTAAAATGCCCTGATACCACGCAGCATGTGATAAGAGCCATATTCAAACAAAGAAACACCAACAACAGACAGCAGAAAGGAGTTAAGGATGTCTACTACGAAGTATATGTATATGTATGCAATGAATATAAATGTTAAACATTCAGTATTAACGCCTGTATAGCTGATGTGCGCGAGCTGATAAACAAAGCACGCTGAGTGGATTGAGATGCGCAACAGATGCGCGAGCTTGTCGAGTGAATATATCTTTCTTACAGACATCACTGGAAAGTTTGTAGTTCGGTCGGATATGTCAAAAACAAGTAAGTAAAACAATGCACAAGTTACTTAATGGTAGGGAGAGAGCGAGAGAGAGAGAGAGTGCGCACACAACTCTGTTGTGTGATCTTTGATGTTCACTCACACACGCATCATTTGGATTAAAACGAAATCGTAAAAATAAAACCATTTATAGGGGCATTCACTATAAACATCATTTATTTTCAACCTTAGGCATACACGACTTTCTGGCGAAAGTGAATCTAGCAGCCTGTGTGAAATGCGCTAG